TTTAGGTAAGTAGAACAGCGCGAATTGCCCGGACTGTACAAGTTATTTTAATAATTAGCGACTGATTGATTCATATTCTGTGTTTATAATATTGCTATTTAAATGTTAAAACATAGATTTATATACGTTTTTCAAAAGTTAATTATTTATAGTGTAAATGAAAATGATTTTAATAAACACATAACCAAAACGTATTTGTTTTATTAAATTAAGTATGTAATTTGTATTCAAAACCAAGTGTGGTGTTCGTGAACTACACGTGTAGGTTCAAAGGGAAATTAATCTCACCTATTTTAATTAAAACTTAAAACCCTTGTTACAAAATTAGCATAGTACCTTTCGCACAATGCTCTGCATAATACAAAGTGGTTTAAGAAAGTGGAGAACTCAATTAAAGTTCTCGCAATATCTTTCCGGACATCATAAAGTGTTGAAAACAAAGGTTTAACAAGATATTGATAGACAATAGATATGTATTAAGAATGAAATTGTCAAAGTTGTTTCGAATTGTATTCTTAACTGCACCTGCATTCGGATTATAAACTTTCGTACTGGCAAGCAAATATTTTTACCAGGAAAATCAACCTATAGGACCTCCTTTGAACATAAACTTTTTTTTGAATGACAGCTATCGCGAGACAAACCTTTAAAGTTTGAAGTGATAGATGTAGAAACATGTATTATCTTACTTGTTACTAATATTGTGAATGCGAATGTTAAGACAGATGGATGGAGGGATAGCTGGGTGGATGTTTGTTTGAAGGTATCTCTAAAACGGCTCAAGGGATCTCGATGTAATTTGGCATACATATAGAACATAGTCTGTACTATACACATAGGCTACTAATTATGTTTTTTTTAATTACGCGCGGACGGAGTCGCGGGCAACAGATAGTAATGCATGAATCAACAAGAACGATGGTAAACTATCTACTATTTTACTATCTAATCGATTCTCACATTCGGCGTTCATCATTTTCTAACATTGATGTTGGTTGTTCTGTTTAGAAACTTCGTGTTCTAACAACATGTTTAGTAATAATGTTCTCACTACTTTGATAACGATTTCTCACGTAACTCATGAACTTTCCTCTTGTTCATGCTAATATGAAATGTAAGTTGGCAAACTCGAGACTTGAAGTTATCACGTAACTTACAAAAACCCCTTCGGTCACCTCGATACAAGGAACGTGACCGGTGAGAGGTCCGAAACGGTAGCCGATCTTTTTACCGGCGAAAGTTTTCGAAAGCGTTCAGATATCTTATCGTTTGTTACGTAAACCACGTTGTAACTAGAAACAGAGCTCCGGTTTTTAACCTCCGAAACCAGTAAGTCACCGCGCGAAAAAAAAACAATTTACGTTCCATTGCATAACCTCCATCTACTATTTACTTTCAGCCGTAACTGTATAAAGCGGAAATTATTTCTCAAGATATAAGGAAGGAAATATAGCCTTTATGATAATAAACGTATGGTTGAAAATACCATGAAGATAGTACCACCGTTAACTTTACGTGATATAACTGGTGCGGTTGTACGTAAACGAACACGTAAGAAAATTTTCTTATAGTTGCGGTAAGACAAATCATAATGCGACAATTACTTCGCGTAAATTCGCATAAACCATTCAGATTTGCGAAACAACTACATTGTTACGTCTGTTAATATGTAACATTATTTTTTATGCTATCAACATGAGAAGTAAATTATGTAAGTCATTAAAATTAAAGGTCGTTTTAATTGTGTAAAATTTTTAACAAACAATCTAAGTAATCACACACACGCACACACACACACATACACACACACATACACACACACACATACATACACTTACATACACCCCCGCTCGAACACCCAGCACATACATGCAGTTATGTAGCTTTTTTTATATAATTTCTTACTATTGTTCTCTTTAGATTATAAAATGATTACTCAAATTATAAAAAATGTACATACGCAATTTAGCTTATAGGATGTCATTGGTTCCTTTATACAGGTAAACCTAGTTAAGGAGCCAAGGTAATGAACCAGATTTGTTAAATGCACACTAAAGTTTTAATATTATCTTCTTATTCATTTATTAACCTTATTCTTAATATATTACATTTCATATATAAAATAAAAAATTATACAAAATATATTATATTAACAATAAAGCACCACCGGCTGCGGAGTCCCATGACTCAAACAACCAGTGGTCAGGGCTGCAGAGACAGGAACCTTCTCACGATGCGTGCGGTTTCTAGGATAATTGCCTTTTGTATCGGGCCCTTAATCCAACTATTATTATTATTAATCAAAGTTATTCGATATTACATTTTTAGTGGTATCTTACAACACTATGTTACATAAATCTTATTAAAATTCGAAATTAAATTATGCTATAAATTAAATAATATTTATTTTAATAAAACATCATTAATATGTTAATCCATTGTATAACACAAGTGAAATTATCAACACGTCACTGACCACAAATTAAACGTCAAATTCATTTTTATTTTATTAATTTCCGGTGTTACAATGGACCACCAAGCGAAATGTGCGATGCAATTTGTCACCGGTTTATGCACAACCTGATTAACTTCCACGTTCCCAGTAAATAGTGTTGTCTAATGACCTATTTTGAAGTTCCAATATTTTAAGTCAAAAATGTTCGATCATCGATCGTTGCACAAGTTGAACATTAAATTTAAAAATGTCTAAATTAATAATTTAATAGCAACAAGAAATATAACGTAATCCTAGAAAACAAATGGAAAATAGTGATAAATGCGGGTAAACTATTCTATTACATATTTAATTATTAAACTACTAAAAAACAAAACACTGGAGCGGAAAGTTTTTTATGTTACAATTTTGACAGTTACATAATTATTATATATTAATAGTCGCCAGCGACTCCGTCTGCGGGTAATTAAGAAAAAAACATAATTAGTAACGTATGTGCTCTTCCTGATTATTTTCTATATGTATTTCATCGATATCCGTTCAGCCGTTCTGATGACACCTTCAAACAAACAATAATCCACCTAAACATTTCATTTCATTAATAATATTAGTAAGATAAACAATAAATAAAATAGGCTTGCAATCGATAGGTATGTATAATCTTTAGTAAGTTCGACATCACTAGTGATAATCCTCTTTCATATGTATTTAAATGAACTAGAATTTGGTGTTGCGAGGATTTAGCGTGTAACAAAGTTTATTGACGAAGCGATTCGCTTCTGACGGCAACTAATTGAACAAGCCACCAACTCCTCTAGTTAATTTAGAAATGTGACTGAAATTTGATATAAATTTGCTTATAATGTTATATTTATTTTATAAAAATCTGGAGGTCAATGTGTTTTTTCGATTTAAATGTGTACATTTATCCGACATTTTTGCATAAGCAGTTTTACGTGGAATTGTTTAAATAAAAGTGTAACTTTTTATAAATTGCATAAAAAAGGAATATATCTGGAAAGAAATTCAACGATATTTATGAAGTCAACCAACCAGCACTAGACCGGCGTGGTTGACCAAAGTCGACCATGCCATAGACTAGACCATAGTAAGGTAGGCACCGAGTGGGGAATGGGGACGTATAGTGATCTGATGATGTCATAATAGTTTAAGACAGCAGTTCAGCAAATTAATTATGTAAATATATGGAAAAGAAGGTATTAAACTTTTTACTTATGTACGAAAGATGAATGACGTTGCAAAGTAAATAGTTTCAACTGTACTTAATATGATTAAATCTTTGTATCTATACAAAGTATATTTACTATTACTAAGAAAATGTTATACGTGACTGTAAAATTATTAATGCTGAGGTTTCCTCAAATCGAATTGTTCCCGTGAAATAAGTTACATATTAAAATGCAACAACCAGCGTTGTTAACAAGGCGTGTTATTAATTTGTTTCGATTCATCGCGCCTGAAGCGACTCTGATTGCGTCACATGCAGCCTCAATCAGCGCCTTTTATGACCCTATTTACGAATACAAATGTTCAAAATACAATTTTATTATAAAGCAAAATTGCCAGCGGTGTTATTAAAAATGTAATTCTCTTCACTCTTGGTTTATTTTTTATGCAAATTGCAGTTTAAATGGTTTTCGAATTGAGAAAACATTTTTTTATACGCAGTATTTTTTCGTTACCTGTCTTTTTCAGTTATTGTTATACTTTGAGTTTTAGTACGTTTAAAGCTTAAATAGTTTTATTACTTTTTCTTCTAATTACACGTTGCCCTTTTCGCAAATCGTATAGATATGATATAGAAATAATTTATCGAAAGTTTCTTTCGATTACTTTGAGATAAGAAAGTATTCGATATAGACATGTTTTTATATGTGTATTCAATCGCTGTTAATTGCTTTTGCTTTATAATCACATCAAATAATAAAGTCTATAGGATGCATGTTTTTATAAAATCAATACTCCCTAGAATCGATTGGTCATTCAGTTTTTCAGTGGAAAGATTATCCTATAGTAAATGAACATTTAATTTGGATTAAAAGCATTTTATACGCAATGCTATTGATAATTTAAGCTTCGCGTAATGCCCGCTGTTCTGTTCAAAATTGCATTTATTCGAAATGGCTGGAATTGCTTGGAATAAAATCCAGAAGAGCATTATTTTTTATATCACTCTGACGACCGGATGAGAAAAAAACTTTTTTTAGTTACAAATATTGTTATTTAGACTCGATTGTATAGCATAAAGAAATTTTTCAGTGTTAAATGTTAACGAGTAAACCATATTTACGTCGGACTAGATATCTCGGGGTATTGTTAGTAAGAAAATCCGACACTGTGCCGGCGTACAATACTAGTCTTACTAAAATGTCGACGTTTATGTCCCCTCACTAATAATTCTATCACTTAACTTTGTAAGGAAAGCGCGCCAAAGGATTCTAATTAATAACGTCTAAAAGTATTTACTTTCATGTCTTCGCAAGTCTTGCTATTGAAATTTAAAGAAATATACTGTTGTTTACAGAGACGGGGAGCACGGATAAGAGCAATGGTATGAAGGAACCGGGATCACCTGAGGAATTGGTAAGTCATGCTAATGATTGTATTTAGCCGTAGAATTCCATTGCAGTTATACTTGTATTGATACATGTGTGTGTTTCATACTTTGACAAAACAAGGTACTGTGTTTAAATACATAGCCACGACAGTAGACTTCTACGGTAATTTTTGGAAATAAAATTTTAAACTTGTACGTAAATTTTTAAACTTATTAAAAAGATCTTAGTATCGATTACATAATATAGATGGATTAAAAATGGTCTTCGTTAAAATTCCCTTCACTCTGGCAATATGATGATACATATTGAGAGCTTGTAGTTTTTTTCTACATGTCCACTTTTTCTTTGTAACACCAACTTAAGCTTCCTATCATTTGTAATCGTTGGAACGGAAACAAAAAAATATTACGTTATATTTTTTTCCGAAACTCAGCGAAAGATGTCCATTTGCAAAGAAGATTTATGGATTCAGCTCACGTTTCACAAATGATATAATAATCCCCATCAGTGAGGACACGCTTCGTCTCATTGGTTTGATCTTTAGCGAAGTAAATTGTGGCCGAGTCTCAAATCAATTGAATCAGTGGTACGATCGATCCCTTCCGGAGGTATCCGGAATTTGCATAATGTTGTTTGATGTTTAATATGTATAAATTACTAGATGTCGCCCGCGACTCCGTCCGCGCGGAATTAAAAAACAAAATTAGTAGCCTATGTGTTCTTCCAGACTATGTTCTACATCTATGTCAAATTTCAGCGAGATTCAATCAGCGGTTTTAGAGATACTTTCAAACAAACATTCATCCATCCCTCTAAACATTTGCATTTATAATATTAGTAAGATCTACAATGTAAAGTGTTAAAGATCAAATTGAATCAATATTGCATTCAGTATTGTACGTTTTATGGACACAAACAGTTAATATTGAAGCTTGTAATCAAACCGTTTCGTGAAAATTTTAGTGACAAATTGCATTTGAATTTGCCTAACGATGACATTCTGTCATGTGGAAACCGTGTCTATTGACCCAATTCGTCGAATTTTTTAGTAAAATATAATAGTTGTTTGGATATATAAAATGTAAAAAAATATTTCGTACGGAAGCGTACTTTTCTATCCGCGCTTTTAACGTAACTTGCATGCAGAAGTGTTATAAAATTAAAAAAGTAAAAAGATACCGAATAAAATAAACAAATGCATGAATAATTTGTGAATCCACTTTTAGTAATGAGTGTACGTAAGGGTCGTGTCCGTTGCTTTACACTACACGCTTGCATGAACCAGATGTCGAAATGATTTTCGGTGCATTCTGACTCGTTTGTGTGTCTATGTAAGTTCCAATTAGTAGTGTAAACTTTAACCCGACACTTTTAACATTGCACTGAGTTATACGAAGAAATAAAGATTTCACTGGCTTTAGTTTACATCCCTCCCTATTTACTCAGAGACAATTTTATATGTTGATATTTGACTAAAAAGCTTGAGAGAGATTTAATTACTTATACTCATAATGATGTACATATTTGCAATGTTAACATCAGAGTTTAATTTGAAACCTAACCTAAAAAGTAAATATAAATTTGTCTTGTGTTTGTTAGAGAAAATTAGCTGAGATAATCGTAGAAGCAGATGAGGGCTTTGTCAATTTTTGTTGAAGGACTCTTGTCGACGATTAACCCGGTACGAGTGGAGAAAAATACCCTCTGGTCGAAGGGCTGTCAAGTGCTCGCGAGCCGTGATCGATGTGCCCGCCCTCGCGAATGCTCGCTTCAATCGAGTTTAATTGGCCTTGTTTGCGTCATAATCGATAGAAAAAATCGCCATCGACAACCCTATTTGTGTTTATCTAATTAAGATTGATGATAAACTCAAAATTTGGACAAATTTTACTCGATAAAGGCATATTTATACGGTTTTGATAAATAATAACCATAAGAAGTCTTTATAGTAAGGATGAGAGTTACGTGGTAGAGATGTCAACATCGGACTATTAATATCGATACGTAAATATAAAATTGGAGTAAATTCTAAAAAAACACATTATTAGTTGGAAATCTTCCAACGACTTGTTGTAACGCAACGAAAAAGAACTCAAATGAAATCGAATAATATTTTCAAAGATGGTTGGTTTCTTGACACTTCTTTTATCTTTGTATAGAAGCTAAATCATACTAGTCTTACTTCTTACTAATATTATAAATGCGAATGTTTAGATGGATGTTTATTAGAAGGTATCTCCAAAACGGCTGCATGGATCTCGCTAAAACTTGGCTTAAGTGTAAAATTTAATCTGGTATAATAGAATATACAGACCACTAATTATGTTTTTTTTTTTATTCCGTGTGGACGGAGTCGTGGGCGACAGCTAGTTATTTAATAACCTTTAATATATATAACTCTATTAATCATCATCATCGGCTCACTAAACGTCCCCACCGAGGAGCTCGGAGCCTACCCTAAGTTAAAGATGATTAGGCCATAATCAACCACGCTGGCCAAGTACGGGTTGGTTGACTTCACACATATCTTTGAATTACTTCTCAGATATGTGCAAGTTGCATCACGATGTTTTCCCTTCACCGTAAGAACGTCGGTTAAATGTACATATGTAGATCGGAAATCTAAAAACACATTGGTACATGGCGGGATTCGAACCCAGGACCTGCAGATTGCAAATCAAATGCTTGACCACTGAGCCACCGACGCTCCAGTTCAACTATGTTAATAACATAATAATAATATTGAATATAACAGTAAAATTGTCTTTCATTCATTAGAAACATTACGAATACGTTAAATGTTTGCTAAATACAAAACTTGAAACGAAATTATTAGAAAGTTTGTTTCATATTGCAAATTATGAAAGTTTATATCAAACGTAATATGTTAAAATTAATCTCGTTTGAGTTGTAAGAGCATGGCAAAGTAATCAAAGAAGTCGACAGTTCTGTAAAGATCTCAATCACACTTGTACGGAGATTTCGCTTTGATCAATTGCTTCTATTTGCTTTTGACAAATGTAATAAAGTTTAAGACTAATGTCGACTATAGTTATTAAATATTCTTATAATAATTGTGATATTATTTTTAAATAAATTAATCGAATGTTATCTTTATGTATGCTGCCATTAATTTCTTACTTCTTTTTTAAGTTTATCTTTATCTTTTAGCTTATATCTTTTAACCTTTAATATTATTCACATGATGTGTCCATTTATATCTGTAACATAAATATGCCTATTTGATATGAAAAAGTCCCTTTTTAATTAAATAAAAATTTTAAAAATCTTTTATATCAGTTGAAAATTGGATTAATATAATCTGGTTTAGATCGTGCGTTGTTAAAAGTTCATCTAGAGAGTTGTTAAAGTACCCAAAATAGCACATCATTTTTTTTTATAAAGATGAGTTCAAAAATAGCAGATGTATATCATTTCTCTGTAATCACATTAAAGTGAATTACAGTATCTCTTTAGTCCACTGTATGGTTTTACTGGGGAACTGAAACTTTAGTACTCTGACAAATTACTTCACTTTTAATTCACTTTGTCACACTACACGACACCTACACGTATGAATAACGTAATGGGATAAAAAATTGTTGCACTTTGAAATTTTCATTTCGAGGACAAAATTATATTATATTTAATTATTTTATTATTATTAAATGTTAATGTTTTTAAAGATAAATCTCATAAGATTCGGCGTCGATTAGTATTAAGATTTCGTGGTATTCAGATTCTAATTTTATATGTAACTAAACTCCTACGTTGAATTACCGCATATTATGCAAATTCCTTTGCTGCATCAAAGACGAAAAGCTGGTACACGAATTTGCAGCATTTACACAAAGTTTAAACTTGCTATGCATCTTGGTGACAACATGCATCAAATTTCATACATGCTTTGTTAATATAAATTTAACATAGCTCTTACTAATATTAAGCTTGCTACCCACCACAGTTTAAACTACACAAGTAAATCTGGTAAATGTGTGTAACGGGCTTTATACTCTTTAATGCAAAATTATTGATGTTTGTTACCACGTTACTCCAGACCGACTAAACGGATCAAGATGCAATTTGGAACAGAAATAGATTACAGTCTTGACTAGCATATAAACCGCTAACTTTTTTTATAATACTACGAAGGCGAGGACGACAGTTAGTAAGAATATAATTTAAACACATGTTACCCGGCCCGTAAATTATTTTTGGTTGCCATTTTTGGAATTTATTAAGCAATATCGTAAAGACGGCCGGGACGCGAACGTTTATTTTATGTGCAAATAAATATTGTCATGTTAGTACGTAATGTTCGGAGAATTATGGTTATTTTTTATATGTATCGGCTTTTTTTGTTCACATTTTCTTAACGCATTTTCAACGTATTCAGTGGAATTATTTGATACGTTTCTCCAGAAGAATTACGGTCATCTAAAAATCCTTCTTTCAATTGAGTTTATTCTTTACCTACATACTGACTTGACTTTATTTAATCTCCTATGTCACCGTAGTGGGACAGCGGGCGTCCACAGTACCCCGCCAGCTTGCTCTTACTTGGGCTCAACGTTTGATCTCGTGCCACATCAGCCCGATTGTCTTCATGTCGGCCACTTTACCTATATGGAATAACCTAAATTATACACAAAGATAATGTTAAACTGAAATAATAAGTACTAATTAGAGCAACAATACTTATTTTATAGTAATTTTATTGATTTTTAGTAGTTTAATCGAGTTTCAAAATACTCTGTCCTTTCGTCTGTTCGTTATTAACACTGACAAATGACAATAAGGGTACGTATCACAATGTGCTCGATATGACGATCACAATTGGCACAAATTGCACTTTTATCAAGTACTTTAACTCAGATGAGAGTGGTCTTCGGCGGGCAGTTATAAACGAAGTCATATTGTAAGGGTTCATTTAGACATAAGCCAGAAATGTACAAACGACGGTCGGCAGTCGCGTCAGAGCGAGATAAGCGTATTTCCCATAAGTTTGTCTTGGTATAGGTGAAT